TGCTTGCACTTGTCACCAAGGATAACTATCCCCAGGAAAGTTTCCAGCATTGTTTTGTTTCAAAAGTCACTTCTCAGGTATTCTCTCACTTGATTATCTATTCATACTCTGAGAAATGATGAAATGCATAATTTTTGCATAGAAGAAATGCAAGATTTTTGCTCTCATATGTAGTTAATGTTAGGGTGATCCCTGCAATTTGTTTTTGTTGTTTTGTTTTGTTTTGTTTTTGTTTTCTTGGAGAGGAGGTTTCTGCTATAGGGTGCAAGCACTCACCAGAAAGACAGAAAGAGAGAGAGAGAAAGCAAGAAATCCCCCAGTGGGTATGGCCATGCCACAATCCTTTCTCTTGAATTCCTCTCTTGGGATCTTGGGCACACACACACACATGTGCCCGGCATGAGTTTAAGCCACCAGGTCTGGGACTCAAACCACAATTGACAATGTGGGAGTCCAGTGACGTAGCCATTACACCATCTGCTGGTCCCAATCCCTGCAATAAGGCAGCCTTGGTCATAGGCTGTAAAGAATTCACAAACTCAGAGAGGAACCAAATAGAAAATAATTGATTGCTTTCCAAAGAAAGAAAAGGGTCCAAGTACAGGGAGTTGCATCAGCTGCAGAAGATGAGGGCAAAGGCTGCCAGGCGGTGTGGTGGTTAAAGGCACTGGATTCCCATAGCCAACCATGGTTTGAGTCGCAGACCTGTGGGCTTGCCTTCTCACATTTCCTTTCTCTCTCTGTGTGTGTCTGTCTGGTCAAATTAAAAATAATAATAACAAATGGAATTGCATAGATAAATAATTCTTTAAAAGGAAAAGGGTAAGGGCAATGAGCTTTTATTGGGACTTAAGGAAAGGGATGTTATGGCTGAGTAATTAGGGTGATACTTGGACAGAATGCCTTTTGATCTTTTGCAATCTCTGGACTAGATATCTCTTGTTGTCATATCTGATGACTTTGATCCATAATATATTTGGATGTTGTTGATGCTTCAATAAGGGTCTCAATCACCCTATCTGGGAGTAGAGACTTAGAAAATCTAAAGTCAGCCATCTGTGGTGAGGTCAAGTAGAAGCCAACTCACCAAGGAAGAAAAAGGAAGGAGATCTTATTTAAGAAGTCTTTGCCTACTCTGATTACTCCAAGAGTTTCTCCTTTGTTTTCTACTAATAGTTTTATAGTTTGAGTTTTAGGATTAGATCCTTGATGCATTTTGAATTGATTATTATTAGTAATGAGACACAGGGATCCAGTTTCATCTTTCTATGGTAGATACCCAGTATTTCCAGCACCATTTGCTAAAGAGATTTTCTTTTCAACATTGGATTTTCTGGTGCCCTCTGTCAAAAATCAGTTGACTATGTTTTGGACTTGAGTATGATATCTTTGTGGACTAATATACAGTGTATTCATGCTGGGAACATTCATTTTTATGCTGTAGTAATATACAGTGATTAAATGCAAAAATAAAAATTAATTTTTTTTAAAAGAGGAAAGCAGGAAAAATAAAAAGGGAGAAGGAGAAAGAGATGTTTGAAGCATCTGGGAGTTTTATTGAGCCTTTCCATTAAGGCATCTGTATATCACTGAATCAAACTATTGCTAGAGAGACAGACAGACAGAGTTGACCCTTTGCAATCCTTAAGGTGCCTGGGAGACTTTTAACCCTTTAAGTTAACAAATCCCTTCCCCAGCTAGGATCTATAACTGCCCTAACATTAATACTCAATTTCTTAATATAATATCTGGAGTTAATGATTTCTTTCTCTGTCATGTTAAATCACAGCTTGTCCTCTTGTTCTGTAGACACTGTTCCACTATACATACATGTAAGCATCTACATGCACACACTGAGAGTAAACTACTCTCTGTGTTCTCAAGTTGTTTCTTTAATTTTATATAAAGTAATGGAATATATAAATTTATTTCTTCAGAAGACTGTCTAGAATGGTATTGCCATGGGAAGTGAAGAAGGAAGACAGTAATCCATACTAGTTTGTTGTCTATCCAGGTGAATATTTATGCATTTCTTGAAGATACTGTGTTCTAGAAAGAAGTAAAAATATTCACTTTACATGCCATTTTTTGAGCAAAATAGCAAAGCAGGTTCAGTTTGCCTGAAAGCTCAGATAGAAAACTACAAATAAAATGTCGAGTGAAGAAAAAGCACATCAGGAAGGGCATCTCAGAAATAGTGATTTGGGTAATACAAGCCTAATTATGTGCCACCTCTTCCAGATCTGCCTCTAGGCTCCCCACAAGCAAACATATGCATATACCAAAGTACTAATGAGCTAGTGAGCTTGCCTCTCCTGAGAGTACTTCAGGTTTAACCCACTTGACATGGTAATGGGATCAAGCTTACTTTCTTAACTAGATGCACTTTCACTTTGCACTAATTAGCCCTTCACATATTCCAGTAAACTTTAAAAGCTCTAGTAAAGATATCTCAAATATTCATTTAAGTAAAGTGTTCTTTTAATATGACTTCATCAAGACTCTGGTGTTTATGGATGCATTTGGCAAGCCATGGGTTTTGTTCTTGGACTTGTTTTCCAATTCTCATTCTCCTAATACTCACTGTGTGACCTTGGGTAAGACAGCATTGTTCTAATTGCAAAATGATGATTATTTTCTCCATAATGAGTTCATGTGTATAAGACTCACTGGTTGATATTCAATGCATTGCAGATTTTTTTTTTTTAATTCCTTCCACAGTCTCCTGAGTTCTAGCAGAATACACCTCTATAAAATACATGAATCACTGGTAGGAAGGTACTTTCAGATATAGCTGTTTGGCTAATACATATCGTTTCCACATGTGCAAGAAAAGGCACATATTAACCAAGCCATTGCAAAGTACATGTGGGTGGTGCTCATGAACAGCATTCATTTTGTTAGAATACTGTTTTTATGGTATGTCTGGCAGTGATTTCTCTGTACCACCCACATAATCAGCTTAGCTCTTGCTTGTCTATAGCAAACCAAATCCTCTGTATCTTTCATTGTCATGAATATTATAAAAATTCTCTCATGTCCTATTTTCATTTTACCATCATGATTTAGGAGCAAAGAGTGTTTGAAGCATCTGGGAGTTTTATTGAGCCTTTCCATTAAGGCATCTGTATATCACTGAATCAAACTATTGCTAGAGAGACAGACAGACAGAGTTGACCCTTTGCAATCCTTAAGGTGCCTGGGAGACTTTTAACCCTTTAAGTTAACAAATCCCTTCCCCAGCTAGGATCTATAACTGCCCTAACATTAATACTCAATTTCTTAATATAATATCTGGAGTTAATGATTTCTTTCTCTGTCATGTTAAATCACAGCTTGTCCTCTTGTTCTGTAGACACTGTTCCACTATACATACATGTAAGCATCTACATGCACACACTGAGAGTAAACTACTCTCTGTGTTCTCAAGTTGTTTCTTTAATTTTATATAAAGTAATGGAATATATAAATTTATTTCTTCAGAAGACTGTCTAGAATGGTATTGCCATGGGAAGTGAAGAAGGAAGACAGTAATCCATACTAGTTTGTTGTCTATCCAGGTGAATATTTATGCATTTCTTGAAGATACTGTGTTCTAGAAAGAAGTAAAAATATTCACTTTACATGCCATTTTTTGAGCAAAATAGCAAAGCAGGTTCAGTTTGCCTGAAAGCTCAGATAGAAAACTACAAATAAAATGTCGAGTGAAGAAAAAGCACATCAGGAAGGGCATCTCAGAAATAGTGATTTGGGTAATACAAGCCTAATTATGTGCCACCTCTTCCAGATCTGCCTCTAGGCTCCCCACAAGCAAACATATGCATATACCAAAGTACTAATGAGCTAGTGAGCTTGCCTCTCCTGAGAGTACTTCAGGTTTAACCCACTTGACATGGTAATGGGATCAAGCTTACTTTCTTAACTAGATGCACTTTCACTTTGCACTAATTAGCCCTTCACATATTCCAGTAAACTTTAAAAGCTCTAGTAAAGATATCTCAAATATTCATTTAAGTAAAGTGTTCTTTTAATATGACTTCATCAAGACTCTGGTGTTTATGGATGCATTTGGCAAGCCATGGGTTTTGTTCTTGGACTTGTTTTCCAATTCTCATTCTCCTAATACTCACTGTGTGACCTTGGGTAAGACAGCATTGTTCTAATTGCAAAATGATGATTATTTTCTCCATAATGAGTTCATGTGTATAAGACTCACTGGTTGATATTCAATGCATTGCAGATTTTTTTTTTTAATTCCTTCCACAGTCTCCTGAGTTCTAGCAGAATACACCTCTATAAAATACATGAATCACTGGTAGGAAGGTACTTTCAGATATAGCTGTTTGGCTAATACATATCGTTTCCACATGTGCAAGAAAAGGCACATATTAACCAAGCCATTGCAAAGTACATGTGGGTGGTGCTCATGAACAGCATTCATTTTGTTAGAATACTGTTTTTATGGTATGTCTGGCAGTGATTTCTCTGTACCACCCACATAATCAGCTTAGCTCTTGCTTGTCTATAGCAAACCAAATCCTCTGTATCTTTCATTGTCATGAATATTATAAAAATTCTCTCATGTCCTATTTTCATTTTACCATCATGATTTAGGAGCCACTGTTTAGGACTTCTTCAGAGAGAGCTCAGTGTGCTTCAGTGCATGTCAGACCCATAAATATCTCAGTTTCATGGACAATTATAATTCATAATAAATTCAATATCTGAGTTTCACTGATAGATGTCTAATACTAAAGACAACTTAAATATCCAGCATAAGGCAAATGATTGGAAAAGTACTAAAATGTTTATGGAAAATTGTGCTATGAAGGAAACTACACATGGGATTCAAAATATTTTGCAATGAAGTAATTTCATACCTTCATTCCATTTTCTATGAACTTTAGAAAGCCTCTTATATATAATAACAAATCCATATAATGATGACAACAAGGAGAGGAAAGAAGTTATTATGCAATGTTACATGAAAAAGTAATTTCCGATCAATGATGACTCTTAAATATACATTCCTTGGAAATCTGAACAAAATGAGTGAAAAATCTCAACCGTTGTCCTCATCAAACTGAGGTCCAGCACATTATAAATAAAAAAAAAAACAAACAGTAATTTCCAAATCTAAACTTTAAATTGTAAGAACACTGCTATTGAACTTAAATAGTCAAGGCTAGAAAGTATATGCAGAAATAAGTATTTCATCAGATTAGGTTTATATGAGTGGATATTGGCTACTCATATTTTGTTACACTTTTCAAGATACTTGTGTGTCATAAAAAGAAAACACCTAAGAAATCAGCAAATCACTAACCCATTCTATGAATTAGCATTACTCAAAATTTTTTCTGAATTATTTTCAAGATTATATATATATATATATATATATATCATCTCAGACCTATTCCAGAGCTCTAGACCTATTTAGACAGTTACTTCCTGGCGTTCAATTGGGATAATCATATGCACTTTAAAATAACCTGATGAAAAATGTACCATTGGGACCAGCATATGATGTAATGGTTACATCGTTGTATTCCCATGTAGTTGACATAGTCCCACAATTTGAGTCACAGACCTGGTAGCTCAAAACTCATGATGGGTGTATGTGTCTGCATCCCTATAATCCCTAGAGGAGAATGGAGGAGCAGGGATTGCAGCTTCATCATCCCCCTAGGGGCTAATTTCTCACTTTCTGTCTTTCCGGAGAGCACACACAACCTATAGTAAAAATTTCTCTGGAGGGAAAAAATGTACTGTCACCAGAGCCAACAGGTAGTAGTTGAGGTGCTGGACTCCCACATGGCTGACTGTGGTTTGGGTCCCAGACCTGGTCGCTTGAAACTTATGCTGTATGAGTGTGTGTGTGTGTGCCCAAAATCCTGAGAGGAGAGTGAAGAAGAAGGGATTGCAGTCTGGTCATCACCCCTGGGAAGTGATTTGTCACTTTCTTACTGTCTCTCTCTGCCTGGTGAGCACATGCGCCCTATGGCAAAAACTTCAAAAAAGCAGTGATGGTATCTTTCCCCAAATGTAGGCCTTCTGTTCTATTACCTAATCACTATTCAAGCAGTCAACCAAACTGAAATCTTCATTTAGTTCCTTTTCCAGGTAACAAATTATTTTAAATCTACTTTATCAGCATTTTCAAACCTGTCCCTAACTTTTCACCACAGTGATTATTACTGGTGTCATTTGTTTCTTGGCTTGCTTAAGAATCTTCAAAGTTAGGCTTCTAATGGGTCTTTTCTGCTTCTTGTTTGTGTCTGTCTATTGATACTGCCTTCAGAGCATCAGGCCCCTTGAACTGTGTTACCTATGATAGAATTGGACAGAAATAAGCTATATTAAAATGCAATTATTTGACTTTATGAGGAAATATTTTGTCAGTGTTATACATGACAGTGATTTTTAAAGGAAGATTAAACCTGTACTTAATCATGAAAATGTCAAAATAGCAATATGCATATTTATATGAAATGCAGAGGTTCTATTTTATTTATTAAAAATATCTAATAGTATGTATTTCTTCAAAAGTCTTTAAGTGGTAAAATATTTAAAATAATTTGCTTCATGGAATCCTGCCCATTCTGACCAGACCTTCTTTGATATACTCTGCATTATTCTTGACTTGTGAGAGTTTATTTGAGTTTGAATGCTTACTATGTTTTTATTATTTTTAAAATTACGATTTAATTATTATTAGCATTTTTATTACTATTATTAGTGACTTTTCCTAAAGACTATATGCATTTTTTGTTTAATTTGCGCATCAATGCTTGACAGTAATTATTTCTGTTCAATAGAGAGTAAAAATGAAGCTTAAAAGAGCTATGGGCTATCTAGAAGTGCAGCAGTTAAGTGCTGCACAGAGAAAGCCAGACCCCATATGGCCAGCCAGGGTTCTAATCCCAGCCCCAGATGCTTGAAGAACATACTAGATGCAAACATGCTGAGGATCCTGATGGGATAGAGAACTGAAGAGAAAAAGAATGTGGAATGACCAGGTCCCATTGTGGGGGGCGCTTTCTCTCTCTCTCTCTCTCTCATGCATGTGCCCTCTAGCGTAAAATTTAAATTAAATTTAATATCACATAAACTGCCCAAGGATTCAATGCTAGGAAGTAGAAAAATGAGGAATTAAATAGAGTTCTCTCTGATTCTAAAGTGAAATGTATAAAGACCTATGTTACACTCTCAGTATTTTTTATATTTATTATTAATAAGCCATGGTTGGTTTTACAGTTATATGCCTTACTCCTCACCCCCAATATTCCATTTCAAACATGAAATAAGTAAATTTTTAGGACTCATTTTCTAACTCTGCCCATTAAGAGTTGCTCTACAGCCTCTTCTGTGTTGCAACTGAAATAGAACGGCAAAAATGAAACACAAATATATCCCCCCCCCGAAAAAAAAGTCCTAGGTGATATATTCTGAAGGGTAAGAAAAATAAATTACTTTTAATGTTTAATTTTACCTAGAATCCTAAGTCATATATTGCATATTTGCTATGAAGATTTTAGCTCTGTAATTTTCAAGAGAAAAGAGCTGCTTAGCTTTATCAGGTGCTGCAAAAAGATCTATTAATATGAGGCAACTGACTGGTGTCTGATTACTAGGACAATGTGAGTTAAATCATGAGGCAGAGTCCAGCTGGGTGAGTAAGTAGAACTGGGAAATAATGCTCTTTAGTATGGGCTACCATTTGACCCTGGAGGAAAGAGAAGGTAGCTATGGTCATAGGCAAACAGTTGCAGTATCAGGGAAGGCTCGATTGTGCCCATAAGCAAAGGGGATGATTCTCAAAAGCAATCAAAATCCAAATGCGTTGAGAAAAAAAGAGCAGCAACAAACACCTGGAAGGGAGCCCTAAAGAGGAAAATTGGGTATAGTTCAGAAAAATAAAAAAGGAAATGTAAAAAGTCATCTCTATTCTTTGCACTGAAAATAGCAAAAGAATTAGCTTTTGAGAACTGGATGATGATCGACATGAGAAATCGCAAAGGAAGCACACACATGTACAATCTGATTCATAATGCTAAGCCATTATACTTTACATGTGACCATTGCTTTATATGTTTCACATCACCCTTTGAGACAGGCAGGGCAGACAGAATTAGTGTCCATTTAACTGTTGAGGAATGAAATCTCAGAGGTTTTAAAGAAACTGCCTGCAGGATACAGATGCAGAAATCAAATTCTTCGTCCAAGGAAAATGCTGGTCCAGTGCCTATTTCATTACAATACACCCCCAACCTGTATGCCCCATTAGTGACACAGTGACAGTAGAGAAAGTCACAGCTAGACTTGTGTCCTGCTCAGGCAAAGTACTTAATTTTTCTACACAGTTTACGAAAGTCACTCCATAATAAATGGTATTTCAGCTTTCTCTCTGGCCACGTAAATGAATAAGGGGTGATAATGACATTCTCATTATTTTAGGAACATATTTGCATTTGTAATGATACAGCTCCTACCAGGCGCCAAAACCATAGAGACAACTGTCTGAATTAATTATATTTGTTTGGCTGATTAGATAAAAAATGCAAACATAAACTGCACATCAAACTACTTTAAGATTATTTAATCCTTCTCTTGAAAGGGAAATAGGCTTCTGAAGTTCTTCTTTTAAGCTCAAAAAATAGATCATTAAATCAAGCAGCTGAAAGAGTTCTTTAAAAATTGCCCCCCCCAAATTCTTGCGTTTTTCTCAAGAGTCTGAAATAAGCATATCAATCTACATAATATCAGGATTTATTTATTAATTTGCAGTTATTTCCTAGATTAGCCTGCTCAATTTTCATGAGCCAGTCCCTATGCCTCTATGGGAAGTGAGGGCTTAAACTGTGTCCATTTAGCAGACAGCAACTTTGAAGTGGGGATAAGTGCAGTGAAAATCATTCCCCTGAAGTTCCCAAAGTGTTCAATTAGCTTTGCAGATGTGCTCTGTCCACACCTACCTTTTAATGATCACTACATCCTTGTTAAATGGAGCAGCACCATGGCTCTCCTCCCTGTTCACGCCAGCTGCCAGCCCACCTCCTGCTTTCTAACTTTCATAATAGAGTCCACATAGGCCTGAAACCTTCTCAATGCTTTGAATATTTTTGTAAGTAGTGACTCACTTTTATCAATGAAGAATTATTCACAGAGCAGGAGTAGTGGTCCAAAGACTTTTCGTTTTTCATTTATAATACCTCCCACTTCCTTAACCCACCTCTCTTTCTCTGAAGTGTATATCTAACTTACCTCTTCTCCTGCCTAAAACCTTTCCACGGTTTCTGTCACTTAAAGTCTAGACTTCTCACTATGGCTGCAGTCCCAACTTTATCTGTTATTTCCACCCCAAATTAGCATGCCAAAACTATATGTACTTGTCATCTGTCTATCCATCTATCTATCTATTTAGATTGATTTTTCTACATAGCTACTAATTTCTAGATATCAAGAATCTGTATACTTTAACTGTCAGTTCTTAAAATGTATAGGGCTAACTTTTTACCGTGTTTAAAATAATTGTGCAAAGTCGTTCAAGATAGTGGTGGGCAAGGGAAGAGAGGTAGCACTAATGTATGTGTGTGTATCCATGTATGTGTGTGCATGCATGTATGCATATATTCTAGAAATATAAATTTAGCATCAATTTGCAAGAATTATTAGTATTATTTTTTGCCATAGGATGTGTGCACTTGACAGAAACAGAGAGAAAGTGAAAATTCTCCACCCTTCCCCACTTACCTTCCCCCTGGGAGGATGGCCATGCCATAATCCCTTCTCCTCCATTCTCCTCTTAGTATGTTGAGTGTGCACTCACACACACCTCAGCATGACTTTCAAGTCACCAGATCTGGGACTTAAACTATGGTCAGCCATGTGAGAATCCAGCATGTAAACCACTATGCCACCTAATGGGCTCCTTCTCTTTGAGTACAAAGAAAAGGTTCCAACTGCAGTCTGTGGTCTTTTTTATTTGCCAAAGCACAAAGGTCACTAGTATCACTATTTCTCTTCTACAACCCAGAACTGAGAGTAAGAAACGCCATTGTGGAAGTGGGTTCATTGATAATAAGAGAGATG